CCGCCGGCGGTGGCCACCGCGGCGGTGGTGGTAGAGGTGGAGGAGGAGGAGGAGGAGGAGGTGGTTGCGGCAGTGGCGCCGACTGCGGTCTCTGCGAGGATACGGCGTTGGGCACCTCGGTCATGGAGGCGGAGATGGTCGAATTGAACCGTCAAAAATTCCCGTCAAATATTAAAGTTAAAATAAATGTGCATTATACCACATGTCAGAAAGCTTAACAATAGTTTAAGTAAGGAGCACCCCTTACATCACAGTTTAGCATTTCCCATTGCAGTCATTTTGTTTCCCCGACGCTTCGTCTTTACATGATCTCGGGATGTAGGAAGAGCATTCAAGGAGCGGAGGATACAGCGTTGGACTCAGGGAAAACGGAGTGATGACGATACAATACTGTTGAGGGAGAGTACACTGGCCACTTGTTAATATTAAGAAGCAAATATTCCTTAAAATTCTTAAATAAACTTTTTTTTATCTTCATGACGAGTGTTACGTCATCAATTTAAATTACACTTTATTGCCAGTTAGAATTATCAGTCGAAGTTTATATTCGGCATTCGAAACGAATATTGTACTTTTCCACGTCTTCATAAAAAGAATCTCCATATTCCCTTGGAAGTTTCTAAGTATTTCTGAATTTGGGTCCAAGAAACTTAGATCATCAGATGAAGAGATGTTTTTTTAAAATAATTAAAGGGATGAGAGAATTGCACGTCAGATTTTTGATTTGAGTTGATTTGATGGCGTACTGTAACCAAACCTTTCCCCCAAAGCGGTAAAACAAGAAACTTATTTTCTAAGTTATAACCTTTGATCTTAAATCCTAGTTACGATCATAGGCCACATCAAAACGCAAACGTCCGTTTCGTAGATTGGACGTGCACAGATTCAAAACGCGGTTGTGGGTTTGCTGAAAGTCAAAACGTTAGACAAACCTTTATAAAGACAGTTGAAGTGAAGATTCCTGGCAATTGCTAACTGCTGGCACATCAAACTGGTGAAACTTCTCTGTATATAACATACGGTTTACACATTCCATATCATACTAATCTGATTTTAAATTAGGTCTGCGACAAGTTTAAATCTATATTGCGTCAAGGTCTAGTAAAAAAAAATTAAGATGTTTTTGTGCAGGAAAAGCAAACTTCCACCTCCATATGCGTCCAAGTTCTCAAAGAATTTTACAAAGAACTTAACGCTATAATAATTTATTTATAGCCTAACTGCACAAAAGGGATGATTATTATAATTTTCGCCGTGGGTTTCTTTAGTCCCAAGTAAAATATTTAATTAGCTTTGTTGAACAAGTTGTTAGAGAGCACTACTGAACAAAATAGGTAAACCTCCGAATATCATTGGCAAAAGCAATAAGTAAGTGTCTTGTAAGTTTTGAAGACTTATTAAGACGCGACAATCTCAATACAAGATTTTCAAGATGGCGTCAGTTATTTTAATGTATTTAACAGAAGATGCGCTTTTGAGGATGTTCAATTAGTTTTCAAAAAATGACTGTGTGGAGCTGAAAATATATTAATGAGAATGAAAGTTCTATAATATGTGACGATTTTGATGAGGCTGTGATTATGCCGATATCAAAATGTGCACTGTGCATGATGCATAAATGAAATACGGCCTGAATAGACGAGGGCGCTAAGGTTGGCGAGCTGTAGCTGCCTCGTGCCTGAAGGGGCACGGGTTCGAATCCCGCTCGGGGAATGGATGTTTGTTTGTGTATGTATGTGTGTCCGTATACCTTCGCCGTTACCTCCAATGTTACTTACTGTGGTCTCTATATGACCTTAGTAGTTAAAAAGCTACGCTATACGACCTTAAATAAGTAAAAAATAAATCAATTAAAAATGAAATGTTCTGCATATTCTTGTAGTTAAGAAATGCGTGTTTTTATAATGGAGCAAAATACAAAAAAACATGATAAATTTATTATATTGGCGTTTGCAAGACATCTTCTGGCGACGATGATTTATTAAAAACATTGTGTATAGAAGCAATATACGAATAATAAACATAAAAGAGCTCAGCGTGTTTTATTTATGCTTATTTCTAACTTTCCTCAAGAGATTCATTACTTGTTCAGAGATAGGCATACGCCTGGGGAACATAAACTCGTATCTCTGTAGTGTCTTGGTGTTTTAACTTTCTTTTAATTAAGAATGAACGAACAACGTTGCGCGGAGGTCAGCTGATTCGAGCGCAGCAGATTCCGTGGTGTGCGCACAATCAGTCGGAAAGCGGGCACTGGCTCACCTGAGATGCCGGACATCATGGTCTTGACGTTGCCCAGCTCCTCCCAGAGGCGCTGCATGTCGTTGGGCGGCGGCAACGCGTTCTCCACGGCCCCCGCCCCCGCCGCCGCCGCCCGCCCCGGCGCCAGCGCCGCCAGCGCCGCCGCCGCCGCCACCAGCGCCAGCGCCCGCCGCCCCTGCTGGAGCAACACAGCGCACGTCAGCACTTCTGCCGACAGAACAAGTGCTATCCGCACGGGTGCACGGGGTATTGACGATTAATTACCAATGCGCGGATAAATTGAATAAAATTGAATGATACTTGAATGATAATTGAATGATTTAAATTATATTCGACTCCGGTTGTAGTGAACGCGGATACAGTGATCTCTCGGTTATAGTGTACTTAAATCAGTGTGCCTGTTTCACTTACGTTACAAACAAGCATACGAAGATTCGGTTATCTTGAACCTGAATCTCGGTTATAGTGAACCTCATTTATAGGAAATACATAGACTTGGAAATTAATTCCCTCCTGGAAAAGCATATATCTCGTCAGGGTCATAAATTCCTGCATTGGCAGCTTGAGAAAATATCGGCCAAAGGTTGTAATCGAAGAAGTCTCTCCTGAGGTGAAGCGACCTCGAGATGGGGACCTTACTGATGACTGAGACCGTAGGCTTCCGCGGCCGGAGTCTTTATTTACTAGGCTGTCCGCGTGATGCCGCGTCCATGACGAAAATGCCGACATTTCGGTCGCCATTCTGCAACCTTCCTCAGGGTGCGGCGTTACCCGGACAGCCTAGTAAATTACTGATGACCTCTTGCCAGTCAGTGTCAAGCCTGAAGTTACGTAATATTCCGCGGGTCAAAGCGCGTTGTCTTCTACTTAGGCGACAGGATGCTCGCGACTGCCACAGCCCGATACCCGCCGTGCTGCGCGGAAAAGCAATCAGTTTCATTAGCCGCTTGCGCCTTGGTGCTACCGAAAGGATCTCGTATGTTATTAAGCGAATAAAAGAGCTTTCCAGAAGTGGGGCTTCCAACAGTACTCGAAGCATTGAAGGGTGCCAAGACTGCCTTTTGATACTTCGAGACAGGGGACAATACAGGATCAAGTATGGCGAAAACATGAACTTTGGAGAAGGATTTAGAGAAATTTGTAATGAAATATGTACGAAAGAAACAATTGCAAATTATTGATTTTTTAAAGAACAAATAAAGATATTGAAATTTTTAGTTCGTGCTGTTAATGTATTTTGTATATATTTACATATTTCAATAAAATCAATCATTGTGGAGAAATTCTATTTAATTTTGACGTCCTCGGCTACAGTGAACTTCTGATATAATGAACCAAAAATGTTAGATCTCAGAAGTTCACTATAACCGGAGTTCACCAATAGTCCAATAGTTTCAGAATGCGCCAAAATGTATAAGGAAACGCTTTGAGATCTCAATTAGTGCACAAAGTGATATGTCATGATCGATGCGTGTTATTTCTAATAGAGGTACGATATTTTCAAGTAGCAAGGACTTTTCGAGGAAGGTATGGTTCACGTCGCCTGTCTAATGTAGTGCTTGAGTGACCAGCAGGTAGATGTGGTAAAACAATGGGACAAGCAACGCGATAGTGCTTTTGAGATACACCTCTCTGTTTGTGTCTACCTGATGTATTGTCAAAAGGTTTAGTTTTTAATTTTAGAGTGAAAAAATCACCCCCTGATTTCATGTAAACAGCGGTGGTATGCTTTTGAACTGATAGCTATGAAGACGCGATATAAATGCGACATATGACGGGCCTCTTTCTTAAAGTATGCCAGACTTACTATTCAAAGACATTTATGTTACGAACCCAGAGATGTTTATTTACTCTAGTAATAAATACTAAAATTTAACGTACAACTCTTGAATACATCAGAAACCATACCTTCCTCGAAAAGTCCTTTCTACTTGAAAATATCGTACCTCTATTAGAAAGAACACGCATCGATCATGACATATCACTTTGTGCACTAATTGAGATCTCAATCAATAGTTCAGGTCACGTACGCTGCACCATAATTTTGACTATGGACTAGGTCCCGAAATAGAAATCTTTCTTGAGTCTTTTCAAATATAACTTCGCTCATTCAAATCACCAAGTCACAAATCACAAGATACAGAATGAAGCATTTCTGTATTGATTTTGGCTGAATTTGTAAACACCCTTTTACCCGGTGTAGTTTCCGTGCAGATTCTCGTACAGACACTGTACAGAAACTTCATGACCCCAAAGTAGAAGTATAAAAGCCAAAGTCGTGTTTACATGGTCTTCACGTTTTCTGTACGAGTTGCCATGAGTTCCCCCTAGGCGTTCTGCCGGCACACAAAATAATTGCCGAATTAGTACATTGATTGCGACATTTGTGTACGAGCGTTTTGACCATTAATGTTAGTGAAAAATAGATATAAAAAATGGAAAGACCGTTATAGTTGTCGCTACAAGCATGGTTGTGACTGCGAAGGCTTTAGCGGGTACGCAGAAAAATAACGTTTTGAATGGAGGAAGTCATGGCTGCAGAAGTGACATTCAGTTACCTCACATTTGCACCAGGCAGTGAAATCAACTCACCAGATAATCCGAGAAATCGAATCAGCGTAAACACTTTTGAGCATGTTCAATTTTTTTATGTAGGCAACGTAGTTTGATTGCAGCGCCACTAGCGGCAGAATCGTTTACTAGCGGAAACCATTCATCCTTTTTAATTTTGTGGTTAGTTTAGGTTAGGTGCGATTCGTGAGATTTTGCGTCTTGGCGTGACGGATTCGAGTTCTCGGATTTTCTGGTGAGTTTATTTTACTGCCCTTTGCAAATGTAACGATTCCGTAGCCAAGGCTTCCTCCACTCGGAGCGTTTTTTCAGCATATCCACTGAAGCCTTTGCAGACCGCATTTAGGCATTTCTTCGGAAGCAATTATTAACGAAATGAGTGTAGAAAAGGAGCTTCACGAAGGTTAATTAACGGGAGTCCCACATATTCAATTCGCCCGTTTGGTACAGGTTGTGAGGACATGTTGAATCTCATATCACTTTACATTGCTTATTAAAATCATTGCTGGCCCTCTCGAAAGAAAAGAGCAAAAGGGAGATTAAAATTTCACAAACAATTGAAAATGTGGATGGATTGTTGTCAACATGTCTCCGTAGTAGCTTTAACTGCATACAGACACTAACAGTACGCTAACAGTAGCTTTAATTACATATCGCAACACAATTTAAATATTAGTAATAAATTGATGAATTACTGAATGCGTCACTGATTTACATTGGTCAGTATAAATGAGATATTAAAGATATGTGAAATATTTCTAAAAACATAAAATCTCCGTTCAAGTTCCATGTGTTGTTTATTCAGTCGGATTTCGCAAGCTTCACTTTCTAGCTGGCGTGTTCAAACACAAGTTCTGGAACGCAGTTAATCATTTGCTTAATACAATCGCTTGTACTCTAGGAGGCGCCTCGGGACATGAGGTAATTACTTTCAGCGAAAAAAACCATAAACTGCAAAACCAGGGGAGTTGAACTGAAGACGCGAGGATGCGAGAAAGAAAGAAAGAAAGAGAGAGAGAGAGACAGAAGAAGAGAGATAGGCGAGAGAGAGAGAGAGAGATAGAAGAGAGCGATAGAAGACAGAAAGATAGAAGAGAGAGACAGAAGAAAGAGTGAGAGAGAGAGATAGAAGGAAGAGAGGGAGATAGAGAAAGAGAGAGATAGCAGAAAGAGAGAAGAGAGAGCAAAAAGAGCCCGAGAGAGGAAAATAACTTGTTCCG